TTTCCCGATTTATCTATGGAAGTTCAAAAACTAACTATTCTAATATTCACACAAGTCAATCAAATTAAAATGATATATCTTCGTTTTTTACTATTGATGTTTGATTATTCTCTTTATCTATTTATTCAAACAAAAAACATTATTCGATGTTTTAGCATTTTGAAATTAAAATTTTTAATGCATTTCTCAAATATATGTTCTAACATGTAGATATGAATATCTACATATACATTTTTACAGGGTTTTTTTGCATTAATTCATTTGGATCCGGGTTTTACCCGGGTTTAACTCTATCCGGATCTTGGATAAGGAATTTTAGGAATATTGTCTTAAAACCACATTAATTCTTAATTAACACCTAAATTGGAAATATATATAATATATCTAAACTAACCATATTTGTTATTTACCTTAACTACTTCTAACCATAATTATTTAACTATTTATTTCTATATAGAAAGAATATGTGATTAAAATAAATATTTTGTAAAATATTTATTTGGGAAAAAATTGTTCATACGAAAATAATTTATTTTGTTATAGAAATTAATATTTGTTATTTGTAATTAAATTACATAAATAATAATAATAATTTTTCTACACCATCAAATGAAAATAGTTAGTTATTTAATTTTTTATTTAATATTACGTAATTTTTAAAAAATAAATTCAACAATATAATGTCAATGGGTTTAATTCTAAAGATTTGAAAATATTAAAAAAGATACTAACCAAAATTTATCTATCCTAATTTGTTTCTAACAATTTGGACACAAATCTTTCAAATCTTTCGAAAATTTAATGTGATCACATTTGTTACTAAAATCTCGATTATATTCCTAAAATCTCGAGAAGATCTTCATTTAAATATGCAAATTATAATTTATGAATTAAATAAACTAACAATACGAATATTCCTAATATATTCGAGTACCATAACGAAATTAATTCTTTAATTATACATATATTTTCAAAATTATCTTAAATGCTTATCATTCCAAAAATTAAATTGATTTCGAATATTTCCACAATCTAAATTAATTACTATAACATACTTTATCTCAACTATTGTTCCTAAAATATTGCTTAAATCTCGATTTTAAAGAAACTAATTACTCTATATATATTTCGAAATAATTAGATTTGGATCCTTTCTTTATTTGAACGGTTTATGAAAATTATATTCCTATAATAGATTGTAAAACATTAATGCACTATTACGAGAATATGAATTTAAAGGAAAATCTTTGATATTAATACTCCTAATAAATAGCCGATTTTAATTGCAAAAATCTTTCATATTAATGCTCTGAATAAATATGCAGATTTTAACAGTATATTATAATAATTGCAATTCACATTTCTTGCCTAAATAAAATGAACTATATTAATTCCGTATTCAATCCACCTAAAAGATTTAGGAAATTTTCTCATGATAAACGATTTTTAAAGATATTATCCTAAAATGGTTAGGAATATATGTAGCATATTCTAGATTTGTGATAATTTAAAGATTTTCGAATATATCAACGCCTTGCTAATCAAGATTTTGGATATTCTCTAACACAAAACCCTACTAACCTATCATAACTCTATAAATACTTGATCGTTTCTACTACTTCTGAACACACAAAACACCAGTTGCATTCTTTAACTTTCCAATTTCTAATCTTAATGTGTTGTTTGATTTAATTTCTTGAAATTGGATTCGATTAAACTTTGAATTTTTGTTTATAGGTTTAGAATAAATCTATTTTGAATTTTCTGCGTCAATCATATTATGAAATTTGAGGAAGAAGATACAATTCTTTTTTTATATTCATCAATTCTTTTGTTCATATCGTCGCTAGAGTCTTTGGATATTATTAACTTTTTTTTTGTTCGTGTGCAGATTCTTTGTGGTCGATCATGTTGGTGATGAGTTACGACTACTCTCAATGCTAGATGCTTTGGTAACAAGTTAATTTCTATATAATATGGATTTTCCACTTACAGATTTGGAATGTAAGATTTTGTGAGTTGAAAAACTATTTATGTTTCAAAGTGTATATCTAAGCTATACAAAAGAAGTATATTTGACATCTTTTTCTCTTTTTATATTTGTGACTGTAGCCATTAAGAGTATAAAATATCTGGAAAAGATGAAGATCAACATAGAGACTAGGCCTGGGCATTCGGATTTCGGATCGGATTCGGTTCGGATTTATTCGGATTCGGATAATTCGGATAGGAGATTTTATTATCCGTTCGGATTTTATGACTATTCGGATCGGGTTCGGTTCGGATAGTGTCGGATTCGGATCGGTTTCGGATCGGTTTTGGATTGATTTTTGAGGAAAAAAAACTAAAAAATGTTCAATTTAAATAGAAAATAGTTTAATCTTACTAAAATTTGGCTAAGTTTTCCAAAAATATGTATAATTTTAACAATTATAACTAAAAACTTCCCGATATCTAGGTTATTTTTGTTATTTGTTATAAAATTATAGTTAAATATAACTAATATTTTTGGATATATAATTTTATTTTCGGTTTTCGGATATCCTTTCGGTTTTCGGTTCGGATCGGATTCGGTTTGGATAATTCGGATAGGAGAATTCATTATCCGTTCGGGTTTTATAACTATTCGGTTCGGATTCGGAGCCGGATTTTTCGGATCGGTTTCGGATCGGTTTTCGGATTTCGGATTTTATGCCCAGGCCTAATAGAGACACCAATTTGTATCAAAAACAGGCAATTACTCATTTGACTAACTCTGGTTGTGTTATACGTACGTTTATTATTCTTTCAATTTGCTAACGACCTTATATGTGACTATTTAGTAGACCTGCTGAGAAGATGAATTGAAAGATCAAGAAAGTGAGTTCTGAAAAGCATTGTATCATTCTCTCCAACACCGAAATAAGACTTTTGTAGTGAATTCTGAATCTATTATATCAAATATGAACAAAACAACAATAATTTGAGCAAACCACAACACTCCTCGACCAGGTAACTCATGTTCTTTGACTCTAATGGAAATTAGTTTTAATAAGTTTCATCAATCTGAAAATCAGAAATCAATTCTATAAGTATCTAGAAATTAGATTCTCCATTTCAATTCATAACACATAAAACTCATAAAACAAAAAACAAAATTTTTTATGAAAGATCGTACACAGTAATAAATCTATTCCTTAATCTATATCTTACAGAAAATCGGGGAATATGGATATTGGATGAACAGGAGACATGAACTCTATCTCTTGGCCACAACGAAGAAGATCATCGAGAACTGAAGTAGATTTAGAACGATGGTTTGTGTGTCGTCTCACCTTCGATCCGATGCAAATTAGATACTCATCCCCTTTAATCAATCGAATAATCCACATGCAAGTAGCTTGATTACATAAAAACTCCAAAATCAGAAACGTATAAGAACGGTTGAAGAAGACGAGAAGATTCTCAAAAGAGATTTTTATTTTATTTTATAATGCAACATTTTCTGTTTTTTCATAGATATTTCAATTAAAAGTCCAAAGGGTAAAATACAGAAAAGACAAGTGAAGCCTAATTAAGGCCAATACATAATTACACGTCTTTAACATAAATTTGTTTTCTTTTTCAGAGTTTTTTTTTTTTTTCTGTTTTCTTAGGTAAAGCATGAGACATTATTTGACTATTTTTTATACAATTAGAGTAATTTAATTTGTCTTTCGAAATTTTGTCTTTTTGGTTTATTTTAACACATTTATAACACACATATATAACACTATATATAGCATTATCAAACAATTATATAATAAAGAAAACTTTAGTATATTCAGATTAAATAATAAATTATATAAGTAATGAGTATAAATTTTATCCCACTAATAAAACTTACTTAATTTTAAACTTTGGGATAGTAATTTAATAACATGTATCTTATTCGTATAAATATTTAGTCATATAAAAGCCAAATAATACTTTAGGAAATGTTTTAATAAAATTATTATTAAAAAGAAAATTACAAAATGATGTTTAATTTCACGGGATGAGATTATATGGTGGGACGGATTTGGATCAATATTAATACGGGATGGTATACTACGGGTAAAATCCTAGAATTAATAATCAAACTATAATTATACAATCTTAAACACTAAACAAAACAAATATAACTTAAAATTTTGATTTTTAGTTGTAAAATATCATTATGCGGTATACTATATATCTATAGATTATCTTAAAAATTTTAATTTTTTTATTTAGTAAAAATATAGGCCCGCGGTGTACCGCGGGTTAACATCTAGTCATTGTAGTATTTTTCCAAGGTTTGTGGTCAAAATTATTTTTTTCCAACAAAATTAATTTAATAAAAACAGTTAGATAATCAATAGCAAATGTTTAAATATCATGTTGGTAAAAAGATGTGAGAAAAAGTATCTTTAATGAAAAATGTATGCTATTCATGTTAGAAGAAAAACTGTTTTTCCTTTGCATCAAGCACACAAAAATTATGATTGTATATAAATAAGTTGAATTTTCTTAAAATTGAAGATATTAGAACTTAGACTTAATAAAAAAAGTAAGTAGGTGTTAGATATATCTAGAAACTACACTATTCTTGATATATGTTTTTTTAATTACAATATACAAATAATTTATAAAATATTTCGAGTCGTACCACTTAATTGATTAATTCTTACAATACTAAAAAATAAGTGGTGTTAAAAAATTATGCATTGTAAATTTGTAATCATAGAAGAATATGTGTGATAATATTAAAAGCAGAATTTTCTTTTAGTTTTCATTTCAAATTTTAAATTCATGTTTAGATTAAAATTGTAACAAGTCACGCGTAGCGTGGCTACATTCATCTAGTATTAATTATAATTACATTCATCGTAAATCAGTCTCAACCCCAAACATATGTCAAATATTTTATGCTTTTCAGTAGAAGCCCACTAAAGCTTGCATGGGCCTTTGATCAAGGGACTCTAAAGCCCGATAAGTGATTTTTTATACGCACATACTTATCGAAACAAAACGTTTGTTGATTAAAGCTAGCCGCCGGAGAGAGAATTACTTCTAGGAAAAAAAAAAAAAAAAAAAAAGCGAGAAAGTCAAATCCATGGAGTTTGGTGGCTTAAAACCATGTACCAGTAACTCCCCTGACTCGAGCCGGAAGCGCAACCGGAAGCGAAAACCGGCGGAGCTGGGGGAGAGTGACGGCTTATCTGGCAAGAAGCTGAAGCGGATATCGGCTTTGGCCGAAGCTGCTGCGAAGATCGATCCTTCGCATCTTGCGGATTTCTTTGCCAAACCGGTAAGTGCATGCACTGTGAAATTCGACTTGTTTTGTTTAATGAACTCTGATTTTAGTTGTTGTTGTTCATAGCATTGGCACGGCATTGGCCTACTTGGGTTTTACACTTACTTTAACAAAGCACTTTCCCAAGTATCGTTTCCATGGGTGGAGTTGTTCGAGGAGACTCCTTTGTCTATGCTGATCGATGTGATTTTTTTTACTTATTTTAAGTTTTCGTTAGTAATAAGTCGTCTAGGGTAGATTATTCTTGAAGCTGAGTTTGTCTTGTTATAATTTAACAGGTTCCATTATCTGATATTCCTCAACCTATCTATAAAGCATCAGTCAATTGGATCAAACAGCATCCATTTGGGGACCTCAGTCATTTTGTATCGTGGGCAATTGAACGTATTATCCGCGAACAACATACTTGTGGGGTAATTCTGGAGAGACATCAATCTTATCCCTTTCACCTATACATGTGTGATTGAATGGTGTATCTATCTATCCAGTTACCTTTGTTTGACTAATTCCATTATGTTGTCTTTGTTTTATGATTAGGTGGCAGCATTTGTTGCATTAGCAATGGTATTGCGTACTAAACCTGATGTTTTGACCACTCTATTGCCGATGCTGAGGGAGAGAATTATGTTTCAAGGACAGGACAAGCTTCCGGTTACAGTTTGGTTAATGGCTCAGGTATTGTGAAATTTTTTTCCAAATTTTTAATTAATTTGTGCAAGTTTTTTGAAGCATAAAATTGTGGACAGGCCTCTGAAGGTGATTTATCTGTTGGCCTGTATTCATGGGCGCATAACTTGTTACCCCTAGTCGGTAATAACAAGTGCTACAGCCTTCAGTCGGTGGATCTCATCCTGCAATTGGTTGAGAAGTGAGTCTATTTTTCTTCTGGTCTCCTCTGCTATATAGGATTTCTTAACATTCATCTGATCTTTTTTATCCACTCTTCTTATCAGAATTTTGTCGAATCCAGAGTCTAGGACCATACTTGTAAATGGAGCTGTTAGGGATGGAATTCAGCTGATACCACCTACTTCATTTGAGATCTTGGTACGGTTTACCTTCCCTGCTTCATCGGCGAGAGTAAAGGTAAGTAGTATTGGAATTTTTATTAAACAAAAAACTTTGATGCGTTTGTCGATTCTGAGCATGATCATAATCGTTGTATGGGCACAGACCACGGAGAGGTTTGAGGCCATTTATCCCTTGTTGAAGGAAGTAGCTCTTGCACCAGGAAGCAGAGAGATATTTGGTTTTTCGTTGAAATTAGCTGGAGAAGGTATTATTACTAAGTAGTACCAACAAATGAAACCTTAACTTTTCTGCGTCCCTCTGATCTATTCTTCAAATAGACTTGTAATGTGTTACCGTTATTATAGGAAATCCTGTTTTAGCCAAGGAAGCTACAGAAATTGCTATCGGGTCTTTGACCGCAAATGCTGATTGCTTTAAGCAGTGGGACATTCTATATAAGGAGAACCTAGAAGCTAGTGTTGTTCTTCTTAAAAAGCTTGTAGACGAATGGAAGGATCATTCTCTCAAACTAATATCAACACCAAGTGATACTCTCACCCTCAATCGGGCCATGAATAGCTTCAGGCTAAAGGTAAAATGCATCTTTACTCTTCTAAGCTATTCAACTAATTTCACCCTCCACTCTTTTTGAGCTGAATTTTCATTTTCCGACCGGACCTGTGATGTTATTAGAACAAAAAAGCCATCACTGAAAGAGAAGCTCTTTGTTCTATTTACAAAGAAGCTGACAAGTCCTGCAAAGTGATCTTGGGGAGACTCTCCTCCGGAAGTGGCTACCTCAAAGGTATAACAGCTGTAACTGCTGCTGGGGCTGTCGTTGCCGGAGCCGTAGCAGGAGCCGTTGCTACAGTAGTCATTGGAGGAGCTACTGGAATGGAATATTTCCAGTAGGTGTAATGAGAGTTTAAGTTCTTAGAATCACAAAGTTGGGATCTGGGTGAATGTTCAAAGGTCGCAAGCTTGTACGTAGAAAAAGCCTAATTAATGCTCTTCAACTAAATTATTTGAAATATCTAACAAATTTGTTTGCTATATATGGATACGATTCATTCTCTCAAACTATTAGATTTGTTTTCTCACGAATTACTGTTTTTGGTTATGGATTTAGGCAAAGGATTTCCTCATTTCTGTCATCTTGTAACTTCCAGCTTCTTTGTTCGTGTTTCTATCATTCTGTTTCCTGTCACCAAATCTCTATTGAGATAACTTTCTGAGAATATGTTTAAACTTGTCACTATTCGGGGAAAGTGTTGCCCACTTTCTCCGTATCATGATTTCTTAAGGTAGAAGCTATTGTCGTCGTCATGTGTAAGATTTAGTGACTATTATGATAGATCCTTGTACTCTCGATCTCTCACAACACTGTCCATGTAAAACTAGAGTAGAATCTGAAGTTTACTGATATTGTAATTAACAAATCCGATTACAAGAGTAGCTTAATCTGATAACAAAACAAAAGATCTACGTGCTCGAGCTCAAGCACATCAATCCAGCTTGTTGTCCTTCAACGGCTTCCTTCGAGAATACCTCTGGTGCACCGTATCAATACTCCTTTCCCGGATAACCAGCTTGTTGTCCTCGAGCTCAAACTAAGGAAACAATTGCCCAAACTCCTTCGAAGGAAGCCAAGAATCTTCCTCCACTCCCTGATCGTGCGTGAACCATAAATTTTAATATATTACTGTATTAGTTAAATAAGTGCATAATTTTACATCAAGATTCGAAGTAAGAAATGGACTCGTATCACATCTTTTTGTAAGAACTGGAAATTAAAATTAGGTAGTTGACAACTAACTTTTAAGAAAAAATTATTCAAATGTCATAGAAAAATAGGAATATTACTAATATATCATACTATTTCTAAACATTACTCATATATTTAGTGTTCTTGGTGTAATTACAATTAACACCTTTAGTTAGTTTTTAATTATTATTTTCAAAAATATTTAAAAAAATTCCGCCTCATTATTTTAAATCCACGTTATTAATGAGATATTATAAACTTAGAAGAGAATTTTAAATCCAAAAAAATTCCTATCAACAAAATTGGAAATTTTTAATTTTAGATTAGAGATTATTAAAAATATAAGTGGAATCGAGCCGGTCGAATCTCATATCCCTGCACTTACATATACTTCAGCGAGGAAGACCTTAAGATGCGAAGAATCTGTTGATGCCGAAGCTTTGAGGGAAGACAGATACCTAATCCTCGCCTCTCTCGAACCGTCCGAGTCAACTTCCACATCGGAAGCAACCTCCGCTGGCTTTTGTTTCAGTTTGCGCTTCCGGTTCAAGACTTGGTTGCATCCATTGCCGACCTAATTGGATTTCATGAAGTCTTTGTTGCGAATGATGGATTCAAATTGTTTCGACACGCAGAGAAATCTTGCTAGGGTTTTAACAGGCAATCCTTTGAGTATATCTGGAATGAGATCAAAAGGAATCGGAGATAAGCTTCCTCTGATTGTTCTCAGGTCATCGGAGATCTTCTTCTTTGGAAACTTTCCTCTCTTTCTTTTCATGGCGATGATCTGAAAGAACGGCGTCGATTTTGTCTTTGATCAGTTTGCAGAAAAACCTTTCTTGGAGAAGAAGAAATCGAGAAATAAAGAGTTTGTTGCGTCTTGCCTCGGCATTAAATAATTGAAATTCATTTTAAATGGCTGAGAATTAATATGAGTAAACGTGGTGCCGTTTATAATCTAAAATCGAGGAATGATTGAAAGGATCTCAAGATTAAAACGGCAGAGAGTTTCCATTATCAAACATTATTTGTCAAAGTCAAATTAAGAGATCTATGATATACATATTTAAATTACAAAGAATTATTGTACAATGAAGATCTTCAGAGATTTCAGATTTGTACATCACATATAGGGATGGCAGACGGGCCTGCCCACGGCCAAACGGACCGCCCGCAATGTGCCCGCTTTTCTTCTGATCCGCGACGGACCGGCGGGCACTATTGCGGGTTATAAAACTCAGTCCTAACCCGCCCCGCAAAGCCCAGCGATTAGACGGACTGGCCCGCGGTCTATTTGTTATATGCTTATCAGGACTAAAACAAAATGTCAAACTGAAAATGATCAAACACTCTATTTCTTATATGCTTATCAGGCGTACGTGTTTTAACTAGATGTGGAATTTCTTTTCGAACAAAACATGTGCCTTCTTGTCAGTTGTCACGTTGTAGTTCTATCGTCTGATGTTATTGCATAAAGACTGATGCTTTGAGTTTGATTTACCTTACGAACAAACTCGTTGACCCGCTTAGCTGATCCTGTGTCACTTGGTATATCAGCAACTAGATTTCTTAAGTAGGAGAAGCTAGTCCCAACAGGCTGATCCAAATAGATTATATACTATGTCAACAAATTTTACATTATATAAACAAATTATTAGTTAATTCTTGTTTTTTCTTCTCGTTTTCGGTTTGTTCCCCCGGTGACCCTTTTCGTGAAGTGTTGTTGGTGATGCGGTGTCGAGGTTCGTGTGCTTGTGTTTCCAGCCGAGTTGCGAAGGTGGTGCTGATTGGGTTAAAGGCCTCTTTGTGATTTCGGTGGTGGTGGTCTTATTTGTTTGAGTTTGGGGTTCAGATCTGGTTTGTTGTGAGACTTTAGGTGGCTTTGATTTTCAAGGTTTGCTTGGTCTTGTTTCTTTCTTAGATCTGTTTTTGTGCCTTAATGCTTGCCGCGTTCTTTCTGTATGCTGCTCCTTGGTTCATCTTCTTCATCGGGTTGCTAGGGTTGTTTAGATAGTCTTGTTTGTAGAACTTCAAATTGGTAGACATCTAGGTTCTGAGCGAACTTTGCTTTTGGAGGGCTTGTTTTGGTTTAGTTGGTTTGCTTTTGGGTTATTCTCCGGTTGATGTTTCTGGTCCGATCGTCTGTGCTGGTTTTGGATGAAGCAACGAGAGGCAGAGGTTGTTGTTTAAGGTTTGATGTCTGTTCGGGTAGGCTGCTCTCGATGTTGGCTTTGTGGATCTAGTCTCAGGGGTTCGGTTCCTTTGATCGGAGTCTGGCCGGTTTTTGTGGTGTTTCCAGGTTATTGTGTTGTCATGGAAAGTCGTGTTCACGACAGTTCCTCATTCGGGTTTCCGGGTTCTAGTTGGTTTGGCTTTGGTTGCTCGTGGCTCTTTCCGGTTCCTATCAAGGCGGTGTGAGCATTGTTATGAGTTTGGTCTTCCTTCAGTCCCCTTCAATTATTTGACAATGGGTGTGTCTTATCTCCCTGCTTCCATTCCAGCTAGTACTTTCTTTGTCCCTCCTATTTGTGCTTGATGATCTCTTCTTTTTGGAGTTGGTTCTAAAGTCTTTTATCTTTCGTTTGGTGAATTTGCTGTAAGGTTGCCTTTTCTTTGGGCCTTTAGTTTCCCTGTAATTTAGGGCTTTGCTTCCCTCGTTTGGGCTTTGTCTCCGGAGATTTCTCTTTCTTCCGCTGGCTTATGTAATCTCGCTATGTATCTTTCCGATGTTTTATCAATCAAATCAGATGACAAAAAAAAAAACAAATTATTAGTTAAATATCGAAATTATCAATACAATAAAAATACTAAAAGTCTCTCCAGATCCGACACCTCAGCTTTTTCGTGCATTCTGGAGCTGACACATCAGTTAAATGACTTCACCAATCAAAATATAACAAATAATACACCTCAGCTCAAAATTTGCCAAGCTGGAGACATTGTTTTTTCTCTCCGGATGGTACACTCGATTTCATCTTCATCTTCGTAAACCCAATTCTTCGCAAAGTAACAAAATTGTTCCTCTCTTTTGCATCTTCTTCCATATCTATGACGAGATGCTTGTGGGAATCATCACCGTGTTGATGATTTCTCTTTGTCTCCGGTGAGTTTTGGTGGGTTTGGTGTGAAAAAGACTTTCTCTTGTCTGGAGCTTAAGAATTAAAAGCATCCTAGAAGTGAATTCAATGGAAAACAGATCGCTTTCGGTGAAGCTCAAGACGAGAGCTTCTGATCATCAACCATCACAGATCAGGTAAATTTGTTTTCTTGTGTTCTTATTTTATAATCCATTACATGCGAGATCTAATTAGAAAGATCTTGAGAGCTAATTGTTGAAAGAAACGTTTTTTTAGGGGTTTACTTTAATTTTTGTAGTGAATTATGGCTTGATGAGAAGATTTTGGTTTAGGGTTCATATGTTTTCAATTTCATCTGTTGATTTTTTTGCATCTGTGAAAATATGATTTTGACATGTGTAAATTTGCAGACAACGCCGAGGATTGGAACAGCTCAGAAGTGGTGGGAGAAAGGTCTGAAAGAAAACATGAGAGAGATCTCTTCAGCTCAAGAACTCGTTGACTCTCTGACCAACGCGGGTGATAAGCTTGTTGTTGATGATTTCTTCTCACCTGGCTGTGGCGGCTGCAAGGCTCTCCATCCTAAGGTATCAATCCACTTCTTGGACTGTAGCTTGGGACTTTTGATTTTGGAAACGAACAAAATTTCTAACCATACTGGTTTATGATTGTTGCAGATATGTCAGTTGGCAAAGATGAACCATGGTGTGCAGTTTCGTCAGGTGAATTACGAGGAACATAAGTCGATGTGTTATAGCCTGGTGTTCATGTTCTCCCGTTTTCCCAATTCTACCGAGGCGCTATGGGTCGTGATTGCAGCTTTAGCTATACCAATGCCACGGTTCGTTCTCATTCCCATAAAACATGAGACAACGATGTTTGGTTTGGTTTTGATCTTGATTTGTTTTTTTCAGATCAAGAAATTCAGAGATGCATTGGCAAAGCAGATGAGTGTAGGGTTTGAGATGATTTTATTTTAAAGTTTTCTGAATCTTATGCTTGCCTAATTTGTTTTCTCTTATTAAAAAGATCATATTTTGTATTCATTCACTATGGTACGTGGTGCCTTAGAGATTGAACAATTTGATATTAAAATAAAACAACTCAATTTCCTTCATCTCACTGAATCAGCGAAAACAACAAAGTTAAAGAACCAATTATCCTAGATCTTTTTCTAGATGGCATTAAATGCTCCCAAGGCCAAGATCAACCAGAATGTAATCGACGTTAGCCCTGTGGCAATTGGAGAACAGATCACTAACCAGCAGCGTGATATCTAATAAGAAGATAATGTCCCAAGTCAACACACTAATCCAAATATGAAGCATACAAAATTTACATGTTTTTCTACGAAAGATGTTGAGGATGATTATAGTAAATAAATGTAGTTACATAATTCATTTTGATCAAAAGTTCTAAATTAGTATCAATGTTCCAAATATTACAAAAATTTAAGAAACTTTTAACTATCATTTGTAAATTTGATGAAATAGTGGTAAAGTAACATTGAGATAACGGATTGAGCTTATGTAGATTTGAAGCTATTGTAGTTCCTCGGGACAAAGTCGCTGAATTTTGTGTCAAGCATCATCTTCCCCGAATTGGATATTTGATGGGTTTCGTTAGAATTTACAAGGTTTCATTTTTCCAACATGTTTTGATCTTTAAGCTTTTATACTATCTCCGACTCTGGTCGTATCTTAGGGTGTTTACCTCTTAGGTTTGAATTTGTCCAAGTAGTAGACCAAGTGTTTGTGGAAATGCCGCAGAGGATTTATGTGTTTATTACAACTCTTAAAGTTTAGTTTTTGTTAGACTCGACTACACAGTGAGTGAAAGGACTAATGAGAATGACATAACTCATTTGAAATGGTTCAGTGTTAAATATTACATCAAATTTAAATATACACAAACTAAAACATACTCTGCATTATTGATTAAGTATTGACTTTTTAAAATTAAAGCATTGGTTTTTTTTTTTCTAAATTAGAGTTAAACACAATTTAGGAAATTACCCCGCAGCGGAGCGCAGGTTTTAAACCTAGTTCTTTCTAAAAGAAGTATAAAGAATGATTTGGGGCCAGTAAGCCTAGTGGCCTGTATCATCACGTGACACGAGCCACGCGTAGCGGTTCCGCTCCAACAAAAAAGCAAACTCGCTATCTGTCTAATCAGAAACAGCCATGTCATAGCCCCTGACAGAAGTCAAAAAGACAAAAATATCCAAACTTATGGATCATATTTACAAAGTCAAACCCAAATCTGAGTCAAAAATCACCGTTCCTTCTTCTTCTTCTTCCCTCTCATTCCTCGAAAAACTGAGAAACTTTTTCTTTCAAAAGAGAGATTACAACAACAATGTGTGGAATATTCGCGTATCTGAATTTTCACGCGAACAAAGAGAGACGATACATTCTCGAGGTTCTCTTCAATGGTCTTCGTCGTCTTGAATACAGAGGCTACGATTCTGCTGGAATCGCCATTGATAATTCTTCTTCTTCTTCTTCTCCGCTCGTGTTCCGTCAAGCAGGGAACATCGAATCACTTGTTAATTCCGTTAACGAAGGTTACTTTCCTTACGGATCTGTAATTTTTGAATCCAAAGTCGTAACCTTTCTAATGATTTTGTGTGTTGTTTCTTCAATTTTTTGCAGAGATTACGAATACGGATTTGAATCTAGATGAAGTTTTCTACTTTCATGCTGGAATTGCACATACGAGGTGGGCTACTCATGGTGAACCAGCTCCAAGGAATAGTCATCCTCAATCTTCTGGTCCTGGAGATGATTTTTTGGTGGTTCATAATGGTGTTATTACTAACTATGAGGTTTTTAACTTCTCTTGTCTTATGTATTAATGAGTTTTGGGATAAAAAGAACACATTTTTATTCTGTTCTTGTTTTGTTTAGGTTTTGAAAGAAACTTTAGTGAGGCATGGGTTTACTTTTGAATCGGATACAGATACTGAAGTCATTCCTAAGCTTGCTAAATTTGTTTTTGACAAAGCTAATGAAGAAGGTATCCTTATTTTGTATGAGATTTAAACTAGTGTTGTTGTTGTTTTGATTTAGCTAAGCATGCTCATTTTCATGGGGACATCTGTTTCTTATGATTTGTAGGTGAACAGACTGTAACATTCTGTGAAGTTGTCTTTGAAGTGATGAGGCATCTTGAGGGAGCTTATGCTCTTATATTTAAAAGCTGGCATTATCCGAACGAGTTAATTGCGTGCAAGCTTGGAAGTCCATTGCTTCTAGGTGTTAAAGTGAGTAACTCTTTGTCACTGGAATCAAGAGGGCTGTTTATTCTGTATCAAATACTTATGGAAGCAAAAGTTGATTGTTTTAGCATGGAATAGTGGTAGAATTGCTTCATATTGATACCCTGTTTGCACATTTATGATTGTGAATGACGCTAGCTTTAATTTTTTCGCCCTCTTTTTTTTCACGCACAGAATCGAAACCTTTCTTGTTGTTAGCATCTGTGGTATAGCTCATTTTTTGTATGCTTTCGTAGGAGCTAGATGAAGGAAAGAGTAATAGTCATGTTTTTCAAGATGCTCACTTTCTATCTAAGAATGACCATCCCAAGGAGTTTTTCCTATCAAGTGATCCACATGCTCTTGTTGAGCACACAAAGAAAGTTTTAGTGATAGAAGATGGCGAAGTTGTTAACCTCAAGGTACAACAATCATTCAGTTATATTCTAGTCAATGTGTCTTCATCCCCTGGCATATGATTACAGAATTTGATTGACTGATCACTGAGAATATGTGTAGCATTCACCAGTAGCAACTGAAACATGTAACAGATATCATGACAGATAACCATATGTTATTAATATTGTTTATACGAATTTTATGTGCTTACCACTTCCACTTTTTATTAACAGGATGGAGGTGTATCAATTCTTAAGTTTGAAAACGAGAGGGGAAGGTGTAATGGTTTATCGAGACCTGCTTCAGTGGAACGTGCCTTATCTGTTCTAGAGATGGAGGTGGAGCAAATAAACAAGGGAAAATATGATCATTACATGCAAAAAGAAATCCACGAGCAGCCAGAATCTTTAACTACTACAATGAGAGGCCGGCTTATACGCGGTGGTTCACGCAAAACGAAAACAGTCCTCCTAGGTGGGTTGAAAGATCACCTAAAGACCATAAGACGCAGCAGGCGTATAGTTTTTATTGGGTGTGGGACAAGTTACAACGCTGCTCTTGCGTCAAGACCTATCCTTGAAGAACTCTCTGGTAATTGCTACTAAAACTGTATGTTTTCTTGATTTCAAATTGACTCTGCTAACTTAAGTCTTTCCATAGGTATACCAGTCAGCATGGAGATTGCTAGTGATCTATGGGACCGGCAAGGTCCAATATATAGAGAAGATACCGCAGTTTTTGTGAGTCAGTCTGGCGAAACCGCAGATACACTACTTGCTTTGGACTATGCTCGGGAAAATGGTGCATTATGTGTCGGTATAACCAACACCGTTGGGAGCTCGATAGCTAGAAAAACACATTGTGGGGTCCATATAAACGCAGGAGCTGAGATAGGTGTGGCAAGTACAAAGGTAGTTTTCATGAATCTCTCTGAACATATATACATATATTTTTTTCCAGATTTGGAAATTAAAAGACTTGGTTCTTTCCCCAAACATTATCAGGCATATACAAGTCAGATTGTGGTGATGGTTATGCTAGCTTTAGCAATTGGAAGTGACTCAATCTCCTGCCAAAAGAGACGGGAAGCTATAATTGATGGACTACTTGATTTGCCATGTAAGTTGAGTAAATTAGAGAGAAAATTTGCTTCTTCTTAAGACTGTTTCTAAGCAATTGGAGCCATGTATAAATCTTATTTAACTGCAGATAAGGTTAAGGAAGTACTAAAGCTAGACGATGAAATGAAAGATCTTGCGCAACTTTTGATAGACGAGCAGTCACTTCTTGTGTTTGGCAGAGGATACAACTACGCAACAGCTTTAGAAGGAGCATTAAAAGTAAAAGAAGTAGCACTTATGCACAGTGAAGGAATACTCGCAGGAGAAATGAAACATGGACCTTTAGCTTTGGTTGATGAGAATCTCCCCATCGTTGTGATCGCCACTCGTGATGCTTGTTTCAGCAAACAACAATCCGTGATACAGCAACTTCACGCACGCAAAGGGAGATTAATAGTACTGTGCTCAAAAGGTGATGCTGCATCAGTCAGCTCGAGCGGTTCATGTCGAGCTATCGAAGTTCCTCAAGTGGAAGATTGTTTACAACCTGTTGTTAATATAGTGCCATTACAGGTAAAATCTCATCTCTACATCAATCTATGTATCTTCTTCTATTTTTTTTTGGCTTTCGACGCGTTAATATGGTGTTTTTGTTTTCTTGGTGCACAGTTGTTGGCTTATCATCTGACTGTTTTGAGAGGTCACAACGTTGATCAACCGAGGAATCTGGCGAAGAGTGTGACTACTCAATAGAGAGCTTAAAGAGAATGACTCTAGCTTGTATAGTTTTGCCTCATGCCTTGGGAGTGTTTGTTTTTAATTATGTTAACCGTCGTTTACTTTGCCACGCTTTTGAGTCTAAAAGCCAAAAACAATAAAATTTTAATTTTTTTCTTTTTTAGTTTATACTAGGCTTGGAGTTGGACATAAAACTCGAAAACCGAACTGGAACCAAACCAAAAAATCCGGTTCCGAAACCGAACCAAATAGTCATAAAACCGAATAAATTTTTAATGTTTCTACTCGAATTTCAACCGAATCAAAAACCGAATAGGATAACCGAAAATCCGAAATAGAATCATATATCCAATTTATATTTACTTATAAATTAGAGAAATTGTTAAAAATGCCCATTTTTCAATACCCCTTTTCAAAAATGCCCCCTTTGAGAGTCCATTTTTAAGTTTGCCCTCTTTTATTTTTTAATGACCATTTTACCCTTATTTGAAACAAAATTAGGTCCACAAAATACAAAATATTTTTTGGCGGGAAAAGTGATCCCGCAATTTTCCCGCCAAAACACTTGTAAAAAACCTTTAAA